CGCGAGAGGAGTCCGCATCTTAGGCAAGTAAGAAGTCTTCTTTATACCTCCTCCACTAGGGATTGCCTTCCCCAAATGGCTCCCAACTTTCTTCGATACGTTCTGAGCACCCTGACTGTTTTGGCAGAAGCATGGTTTTCCCTCTCGGACAGTGAACTCTTAGAGCTATTTCGAGCCCGTGAATCCGTAGCAGCGGGTATTTTTTCTATAAACCCTATCCTTGACCGTAACCTGATCGATGGAATGCCCTCGAATGATGGGCCTTGGAGGAAATACTGGTTCTTTTTCTGAGTCAATCCCCATTCCGTTCAAGGTCTTTCCGGTCTTCTTCTCGCCAATTGGTCGGCTAAACTTGGTTAAAAATCCAACCTTTATTACTTTCCACTGTATTATGTAAAAGAGATAGAATTCTTAACCCAATACTTTGTTTCAGGGAACCAGACGATCACTCTCCCAACCGTTGACTTCTTGTCCTTCTTTCGAATCGTTTCCGAGGGTGAAACAAATTGGAATTCCTTCACCCTTCAACGCATTCATAAAGTGGGGCTCGCCATTAAAGACGGTCAGACTCACCCCCTCGATCCTCCTCTCGAGGATAAAGACGTCTCGAGCCTGAATGCTCGAGATAAAAGAAAGATGCAGGCTGAAATCAAGGCTCTTAAGGATCAGCTATCCGAAATCGGGAGAAAGAAACGGATAACTGCAATCTCCAGGGTTGGTAACTTCCACAGGAAGACCCTCTTGGTTGATGACTTCATTAGAAGCAGCCCTGTCAGCCGCGGTGGATACTAATGGAGCCGAGATCCTTAACGACCCTCCAGTTGCCACCGCAATTTGCCCTTCCGAACCAGGGTGTGAGGGAGAAATAACCTCCTCTCCTTGTACAAAGAGGAAGGCTCCAGATTTCGATAATCTATCAAACGAGAGACTTAAAACCATGAGATTAAGTTCTCCGCCACGAGTCTCTAGCCCTCTACGTTCTGTTTCTCCCTCTTTAGAACCTTTAAACTCCGAGCTCCCTCTTCCGGAGGACAAAGTAATTTCAGAGGAAATAGATGAGCCGAGACCGGAGGCTCCCCTATCTCAAGGACTGAGTGTTAGGACTCAAAATCCTTTACCCGCTTCGATTTCAGGTAAGTTTTTACTTAGAAAGCGAGCATTAGCAAAACTTGCTACAGATTGCATCTATTTTATTAATCTGCTATTCTCCTCTGCTTCGCAGGCGGAGAAGAGATTGGAGACATCTTCCGAAGTTTCCAAACCAGGGAAGGGGCGTCCCTTCCTCCTTTTTCGATTTGGAGGCCGGAAATTCGTCAGATGTTCGCCAATCGAGCTTGCTACCTATCCCAGGTTTGGATCTTTTAGATTATGACAACCTTCCTTCCTTAGGTAAAAGCTTTTTGTCTAAACGACACGTTTTTTTTTTTACTCCGAAGGCGTTTATGGAGACTAATGGAATGATCTTCCATTATGAGAACCTTCTTCATCAAGCGAAGAGAGAGACCGCAAAGGCTAAGAAGGAGGTTGATGAAATTAGATTAGCCAACCAATCTGAGCGACTTGAGCGGGAAAAAGCAACTAACAAGCAACGCATCAGAATTGCGAATGCTGAAAGAGATTCTGCGAGGTCTAATGCTCTTCGCTTGGAGGCTGAGCTAGAGGAGAATACGGCTTTGTTCGAAGAAGCAAATCAAGAAATCGAGCTTTTAACTAGGAACAGGGCTCGCGATATCGCTGAAGCCAAACATAATGCTCCAGAAGAGATGAGGGGATTCGGTAGGCAACTTATTCAATCTGTTACGAACTTCATCAAGGACGAAGAGGTCTGGACTAAACTTCTAACAGATCGAGCCGAACTGAAGAGCAATCTAGACCTGATTAAGGAACTAGAGGCTGGAAGAGTTTCGTTCGAGAACGGGAGGAGCGAAGTTGCTGCCGAACTCGCTATGGTTGAGTCCGAGTAATCCTCGGCTTCCCGTCCTACTCTCGATCTGAAACAATTTTCTTTGGTATTTGGAGATTCTCCATCTCAATTCGAGGTAGGTGAAGGTTCTCGGCCACATGAGGGTTCTCCAGAGGTGTAGGAACGCTCTTTTTTTTTTTTAAGAATTGTTTTGTTGAGTCCATGAGGATTATTCCGTTTGACGGAAATATTTTGTTCAATTAGTGTGACTGAACACAACCATGTACATGCTCTGGCATATGATGATTATTTTAAACAAAAACGTTTGGACATGATTCTAGGTTTGCAAGTCCTAGCCCGCCAAAGAGGTTTTATGAATTGTGAGAGATGAGCTGATCAGGCTCACTTGCCTTTTTTAAAGAAAAAATCTTAATAAGTATTTTTCCTCGGTCTCTCGAAGGCGAGGATGGAGCTCGGCTTAAGTTTTTTTTTTTATATCGAGGGATAAGATTTATAATTCATGAGAATTTTGTCATAAATATGACCAGGCAATGGTTTTGATCGTTGCCCATGATGGCTTCGGAATCGCTGGGCCGCGTTTTAATTGGATCTGAAGCCTGCTCTAACAGGCCAGCAATATATAATTATTTTTAGAAATCTGAACCTCTTTCTCCTTCAAAAGGAATTCCGAAAGATCACCATAGTTCACTATAAGAAAAAACTTGAAAAATGTCGCTGTCTTCTTTCAGATCAAGCTCAAGTATAACAACTTCAGGTGGGAACCCACTGTTTGAGTCTGAAGACGGATTCTCTCCAAAGGGAGTTATTCACCCAACGTTTTTTCATTTCCGAACAGGGAAGAAAAGGGTTAAATGTTATGACTTCTTGGAAAAGGTTCCTTTTCTAACTCTTAGTCTTCTCAGAAAACTATAACTTCCTTTCTTTTGGTCATTTGACAAAATGTTTGTTCAAACAGATTGTCGGGAGACACAAAGCTTAATGTGATAAGAGACAAAGAATCGGAAGGAGGCGCCGTGCTCTTGATGAGCGCATAAAGAGGATGGAAAGAGAGATCCTTCGCCTGGAATCTGAACCGCACGAATGGGAGAGGAATGGTCTAGACATTGTGGCCATAATGCCTACTTGTCTCCGAAGATTCCTCCGCATGCTGGATAGATTTCATCGTTTATCCTTGGCGACCAGCGATGGGTCCTCTTTTGTTTCATGTTCCTCAGAGTTTTGGAGACTTCCGATGTTAAGAACTGAAGAAAAAGAGGAACCGAAGATGAAAATTGTTGATCACTTCCCCGGCCCTTTTGATTTATCTTCTGACGAGGGACTATCCTCAGAAAGCTGTTCGGGATCTTCCACCTCGCTGGAGTCAATATCGGGCGAACACTTTTAATCGAACACTTTCCGTTTTATGTTTGTAAAATGTCACTGGACTTGAAACCCAACAACATTAATTATATTCCTCCTTTTGCTTTAAATTTGCCGATTTATTCAAATCTCATTTAATGCGTTTAATCTAGGGAATATAATTAGCAATTAACTCGATTACATTTTCCATGAAAGTCGTAATTTTAGATTTGGGAAATCGTCAATTAATCCTCTTAAATGCAATCGAATAAATTTTTGAGTATAAAGTGGGTGTAGTTTATCATTGAATTTCAACAACAATTCTACAAAAATGTCTAAAGAGGGAACTTCTTCAGAGAAAACTTCTGACTCATCCAGATTGATAAGTGACGATCTTCCGGGAGCACCAGACATCGAGCTTACAAAAACGGGAAGAACTGGCGAACCGGAAGGGTCACGAATATTGAGGAAGGGAACCAGCATTCAGGTTCCGATCGTATTAATCGAGAGATTGTCAGCCCAAGATCGTGTTAAGGCCGAGGAGTTTATCACCAAGGTATTTTTCATCCTAGTGATTTAACTTCTTTTTGTTATTACTCAACGTAGCGTTTTATTTTCTTCAGCTTATCACTCGGCATGACGAGCTCGAGGACGAGAAAAAGGAGATTAGGAAGAAGAGAAGGGAACTAGGGAAGTGTTGCCTTGACATTGCTCGCGAGCTTCATTGCCTCGAAGCCCATCCTTCCGATTGGATCAAACTGGGACTTCAAGAGTACGGAAACATGCCAGGTTGCATTATGAGCATCGTTGACTTCGCTGGTCAAGGAGCGGATTTGATAAGGGCCTTCCCAGTTAATACCGAGTTTTCCAGCTCCTTCTTCTTTTGTGTTATCGAACACTCGCCTTAAAACAAAGTCTCCTACATTTAAAGGTCTGTTTTTCAACTTTGAGTTATAGTATCGAGCGGTCAACTGTTGATAATTCTGAAGTCGAATAAGGGATTGGTCTCTCCTTTCATCGATTGTATCGAGAACGTCTTCTAATAATTTAGAATTCGATTCCTCGTTAAGTGGAGCTTCGCTTTGGCGCAAACCTGGAACATTCAGCTCGGCTGGGACTACGGCTTCCATCCCATAAACTAATGAGAATGGAATTTCACCCGTTGCTCGCCTTGGGGTTGTTCGATAAGCCTACAACACAGGTTGCAGCTCGTCATACCATCCACCTTTTTGGGCACTCAAGCGTTTTTTAAGATTGCTGAGAATGGTTTTATTGGAGGCTTCCGCTTGTCCATTTCCTTGAGGATACCTCGGCATTGAGTAGCTAAGTTTTATTCCCCAAGCGGAACAAAAATCTTCAAAATCATTTGAAATGAATTGAGGACCATTGTCCGTTACTATTTCGTAAGGAACTCCATAGCGACAAATAATGTGTTTCCACAAGAATGTCTTTACTACGGAATCTTGTATGCTTATATAAGCTTCAGCTTCAATCCATTTGGAAAAATAGTCCGTTAGAACTAATAAGTATTGGACGCCTTGTGTTGAACGATGCATCGGACCGATTATATCCATTGACCACCTCATGAAAGGGTATGGAGCGGATATATGTGATAGAATTTCAGATGGCTGGTGAATAAGAGGAGCGTGCATCTGACACTTTTTACACCGTTTGGCGTAATCAATGCAGTCTGAAATCATAGTTGGCCAGAAATATCCTAACCGTTTGATTTTGAAAGCCATTGCTCGTCCCGAAGAATGACTACCACAAAGCCCTTCGTGGACCTCGCTTGTCACTATTTCAACTTCGGGTCCGAAAATACATAAAAGATAAGGATCACTGACGCCTCGCTTGTACAATGATTCTTTAATTATACAATACTTAGCGCTGATGATTTTTAATTTGCGAGCTTACCATTTGTTAGATGGTAGTTCTCCATTAAGAATGAAATTTTTTATGGGTACCCTCCAGTCAGCCCCCCAATCATTAGCGGAAGTATTATCCTTGAGTATAAACTTCCTTGGTTCGGGTTCGGAAGGAATATCAGGATCTTCGATTGTCTCCTGAACCTCTACATCACCTGGAAGTGACTGTTCGGTTCGAGACGGTTCCTTAATGGGAACCTCTTGATCCTTTAACTTTCTTTTTGACTGTCTTTTAGGAAGTTCCAATGGTGGAGTAAGTTTGTCATCTTGAGACTTTATCTGTGATCTGGTGATGACAAGTGAACTATTTCCGGAGTTTTGTTTTGGAGTTTCGATGTATTCGGCCTCCGAAATGTTATCGTTTTCTGTTTCTTCAACTGAAATACTTCACGAAGAAATACATTCAACTGGGATAACTCGTTTGAGTTCAGGATCTAAGGTAGAAGCTAGGGCCGCTAAAGCGTCTGCCGAAGTGTTTTCTCCTCTAGGTATTCGAACTAATTCGAAATCTTTTAATTTTCCGGCTAATTTTTTGACAGCCGAAAGATAAGCTTCCATTCGAGGAGTCTTAGCTTCGTAATCTCCAGCAAACTGGTTTACAACTAGCTGAGAATCACAACAAACTATTATTTTTTCTGCTCTAATCGCAAGAGCAAACCGAAGTCATGCTAAAAGAGCTTCGTATTCTGCTTCATTGTTCGAAGGCTGGAACATTAATCGAAATGATGCTCGATTATTTCCCCTAGCGAA